TGAAGACTCAGCCAGAACTGGACTTGGAATAATTTGCGTCCTTTTCCTAACACACCCCTTCTCTCTCCAGTGCCAGCTTAGTGGATCCTAAACCATTTTAAGCACCCTGGCAAGACAGGGCATAGCTGTGGTCACAACAGTTTTGGGGGAAACTAAAAATAAAAGCTCAACACCTTTGCCAAAAAACACTTGCTCAACAACTTTTCTGTCTGGATTTTTGAAATATTGTACACAAAAGGAGGTGGCGTACGTTTTAACATAGAAATTCAGTTTCTGTGAATTCTGAAGCAAGCTCACCTAATCCACACCTCCCACAACTGTGTGTACTGGAGAATAATTGCCCTTAGAGTCTCACACGTCTTCAAATTTTGCAATACCGCTCTCTTCTCAAAACATGACCCAAAATGTCTTTCTAAAATGCATAATTCACAGTGTATTTTTTAAAAAAGAATGTGCATTAAGATAATATGAATCTTGGTACTGGTTTTTTAAAAAATATATATATATGTGCTGAAATGGAACAGAACAGACACAAGAATGAGCATTTTGTGAAACCGGCACAGATTAGAAATAATTATCTCCCTTGCCCCTACTCCAACAGCCCATGTTTTCTTGTACCTATCCCAGGTACAATATTCTCTATCTCCTATCCCTATTTTGTCTATTCAGAAGATATTGGAAGTGCTTTTTAAACTTATTCTAGTGTACCCAAAAGTAGCATTCATTTGATAGCTCTAAGTGCGGGGGGCGGGGGCGTGAATGCTGGCCGACTCTATATCAAGGAAGTCGGAAGTTGATGGAACATTTTTGTGAATTTGTGATGTATTGTTCTGTTGTTTTTGTAAGAGATGTATTGTGCTTCTTTTGTTTCTTTTTCTTTTCTTTTTCCAAGCTTTAGTTGTGTGTCTAAGTGTTGATTTTAAATTACAGGGACACACCATTTCTGTCCATGAAATATTGGAGAATGTGCAGCGTGCAAATTTATTAGGAGTACACTTCTGGAAGAGTACCGTTCTTGTGAAGCTCTTCACAAGAATGAGACAGACAGTATGTCCTTGCAGCTCTGTGTTCTTGAAAGAAATGTTAATACCCACTGGTTTTTTGTTTTCCATACAGGGACAAAAACAAAACCCAAAACAAAACCAAGACTGTTTGTCTGTACTACTTAATGAGACATTCCTTTGGCAATTACTTTCCCAACTCCTACGCCACTTTTCTTGCTACGCTGTCAGAAGTTAATATATCGACACCTCTTTTTGTTTATTGATGAAAGATCGTTCATTAAGAAGCAACGTAGAGTTTCATTTTAGCCCTGACCTTGATCTAAGGTCAAAAACTGGGCAGCAATAATAACAGAAATAAGAATAAAAATATAGAGTCATACCAGTGGATGGGGGCGGCGGAACGGGGGACAGAAGCAAAGAATTCTGGGAGTTATTTCATCTTAGTTTTGGTAATACAGCACATGTGAGCAACCTGCAGGCTGTGTGCAACACTTAGGGGACTTCCATGTAGCCCCCATGGGTGTCTGATCCCCTCCCTGCCCCAATGCCAAATTTCTCTGATTTCCTGCACTGAGGAAAAGCACTGTTCTGATGAAGAGGGAGGGAGACATGGGGAGAGAGTCATTCCCACATTCCTTCCTCCCCATATATATTGCGCTCACCAAGCACCCCTCCTCCCAGCACTGCTGATGGTGGCAAATAAATTATTAGCATTGTGGCAGCAGAGCCACAAAGGGAGGTGTGCAGGATATCTACTGTATTTTTCGCTCTATAAGACGCACCATACCACAAGACGCACCTAGTTTTTGAAGGAGGAAAACAAGAAGAAAAATATTCTGAATCTCAGAAGCCAGAACAGCAAGAGAGATCGCTGCGCAGTGAAAGCAGCAATCCCTCTTGCTGTTCTGGCTTCTGGGATTGCTGCACAGCCTGCATTCGCTCCATAAGATGCACACACATTTCCCCTTACTTTTTAGGAGGGAAAAAGTGAGTCTTATAGAGGAAAATAATACGGTAATTTTGCAACTTACAACTCCGTCTTTTCTGTATTATTTTTTATTTATCTTTCACATTTCTGTACTTCTGTTCCTGCCAAAGGAGCCCTGGGCAATAAACACTAAAGTGGTAAAACAATCCAATTAAAAATAAGAACCTGTTTAAAAGCAAATCTAAAACATTTTAAAAACATACATAGCATCTTTAAAATGTTTAAAACAATCACAGATCCTTGCAGCTAACGATTTCAAGGTTGCCAGGAACGGTATATTTCGGCCATCAATGTCTGGGTAAGCAGGGATGTGTTCAAGTTCCTGCTCAAAGTTAATAGTAATAAAGGTTTATATTTGCCGCACCAACCCCTCCTGGTCATCCACAGCTTCCTCATATAGATCTGAGCAGAGAGGAGCATAATTAGGATCTTTGAGCCTCAGAAATAAAAGGCAAAACCACGTACAGAGTACACCTTGCTCACCGGTGACGAACCTCTATTATTACTGAATAAGCTGGTTGCACAATACAACAGTAACTTATTTTAAGCCAGCTACATGGTGCATAGGATCGCTTCTGCTGCCAGGGCAGAAATAAATCCCATTAAAAAAATGGGCAGTTCCTTTACCAACAGGTTCAGATAATAATATTCCTTCAAGCATCACAGTATCAAGGGTACAATCCACTTCTTTCCTTAGTATGCCCACATAAAAATGTGCAACAGCTATCACTGTACTTATCACATGTCAAATCAAATCAAGGCATAAGTAGCACATGCGCGCGCACACACCCACCAATTTTCAGAAATTCAGGACATCATAGAGGAAATGCAGAGAAATGCATGGTTTGTCTAACAGCAAGGGCTCTCAGACGAAGAGCAGCATCAGCACTAAGCAGGCAAAATTGGGGCAAGCAACCAAGGGGGAGAGTTGCCAGGTCATAGTAAACCATAATTAGCAACACACACACACATGCAGCCCTGCTTCCCCCTCCCTTATCCAGAACAACCTTTCTCTTCTTAAGTTACGCTGGCCGGCCGGCCATTTTCTCTGGCCCAGCCCCCTGTTCCTCTTGAGCTGGTCATGTAAGCAGTCACATCAATTTCAGCCTGGTGATTGCAAGGGGTTGGGGAGGGGGGATAAGCCGGAGGGTTTTTAAAAAGGCTACTTTAATGTACTGCTGGTAGCAACAGCCATCAGATCCCTGAAAAAGATAGAAATGGAGGGAGTGATGCACAGGGAGCTTTTAAAAACCAGCTTGTGTTGCTTCTTGAGTCCTGTTCATTCCCCTTAGCTGGAGCACCGACAAGTAAGCTCATCACCTGCAGAGGTGGGAAGAGGTTTTTTTAAAATAAAATAAAAATCTCCTTCCTTTGTGTGTTGCTTCTCGAGTCGCTTGCTCCTTAGTTGTAGCAAGCATAAGTTCTGTTGGCATGAAGAAGGTTGGGAGAAGCAGAGAAATCTCAAAACCTGCTTCTTTCCAGGCATTTCACAAGGTGGCAGCACCCGCATGATCTCCCTTTGCTTGAAAGTAAAAAGCCCACCCTCCCTTCTCCCCACCCACCCTGGTCTCCTTCGTACCCATAGGCATTCTCCTTCCTAAGACAGGGGTTTTCAACCTTTTTGGGGTCATAGACCCCTCTGAGAATCTGATGAAAGCCATGGAGCCCCCTCCTCAGAAAAATGCACATAAATACATGCACACTAAGGGCAGCTGATCTTCCGCCCTAGCCAGCTGAAGCCCTGCAAGTGAAGGCTCCCTCCCATTCCTTCCATTTGCAAAGCCCAGCTGAACAGCAAAAAATAAGAGGTGCCATTTCTGGCTCAGTTCTGGCTAGTTTCATCACCAAAACCAAAACAAAAACCCCTCCTCTTTAACTAAGGCTAACTTGGGAAATGGCAGAAATGCCAGAGACAAACTGAATATATACACTTGAGGAGGAGTAAGGGAAATGTGGTGTTGTTTTGGGGTTCCCCTGCATCCTTACATCAACTTTATGAAGACCGAAATGCCACATTCTTGCACTGGTGCAAGCTTTTCGTTTGCATTGTTAGTTGTGTTTAGAATTTCGTAGAAAATGAAAGCCTGAATGTTCCACTCTTCCTACCCAGATGTTAGTGTTCAGATAATACGGAAGCTGGACGCGGGTGGCGCTGTGGGTAAAAGCCTCAGCGCCTAGGGCTTGCCGATCGTCAGGTTGGCGGTTCGAATCCCCGCGGCGGGGTGTGCTCCCGTTGCTCGGTCCGAGCGCCTGCCAACCTAGCAGTTCGAAAGCACTCCCGGGTGCAAGTAGATAAATAGGGGACCGCTTACTGGCGGGAGGTAAACGGCGTTTCCGTGTGCTGCACTGGCTCGCCAGAGCAGCAATGTCACGCTGGCCACGTGACCCGGAAGTGTCTCCGGACAGCGCTGGCCCCCGGCCTCTTGAGTGAGATGGGCCGCACAACCCTAGAGTCTGGCAAGACTGGCCCGTACGGGCAGGGGTACCTTTACCTTAATACGGAAGCTAATAAGGGTTCTAGTAATATGGAGCACCAGGCTCCTGGTATATTATGTAGGACTGCTGACTTACATGGTGGGAACATGCTTTGCATGCAAAAGGTCCCAGGTTCAGTCTCTGCTGGTAACTTTGGAAAGCTGCTGCCAGGCAGAGTTGGGGGGTGAGTCCGTGGTTTGCCTTAGAATAAGATAGGCTTTGCATGTTAATTGCTATGTGTGTCTTTTTATAGCATTGAAATGTAGGTTTGCTTACTTTTTGCATTGATGTACATGCAAGGATGGCTTCTTCAAATTGGTATTTAAATCATGGCACTGTAGGGTTGCAGGTTGCATGCAAGCAAGCCTAGGACTTTCTGAAAGTGGGAAATGAAGGAGTTAAGGGTGAACTTGGAGAACATGAGGCTGTTGACTTTTCTTATAAGCACTAAGAAGTCTGGAAGGAAGACCTTGATGAAGTAGTCTTTTGCCTAAGCCAGGTTTTCCCTATTTGTTTCCCCTGCTGATTTGCAGAAAGCACCCCAAAGACATCGGCCAGTTGCAGTCCTGCTCCCGAGTCCCCCATGAGCTCCAGCGAATCTGTGAAGAGCCTGACGGAACTGGTCCAGCAGCCGTGTCCTGCCATAGAGACAAGTAAGGAGGGCAAGCTGCAGGAGTCGAGTGAGGCGTCCGCTTCAGAGTCCCAGTCCACAACGCCATTGCCCCTCTCTGGCCATTCATCACTCAGCATTCAAGAACTGGTCGCTATGTCACCGGAACTGGATACCTACGGCATCACAAAGCGGGTCAAAGAGGTGCTCACAGACAACAACCTGGGTAAATATCTTTTTACTGCTTCTGATTGTTCTAAGAGAACACTTCTTTTTCTAAAAAAAAAGATTCTTTGATTTTTATAAATAATGTTGGAAACAGGAACCTTTTTAAAGCCAGCTTAGGTAACTGGGTCAGGAGCAAGTCAATTAGAAACTATTCCATGAACTAGATGAAGTTAATACGGTTCCTGCAAAATTTGCTTGCTACTTTATGACATTATCCAAATGCCACATATCTCAGCATTCTTTATATGATGAGTGGCTTTGTTGCTGTGGACACTAATTCCAAGATTTGGGAAAAGCAGATCAAAAGCACCCAAGTATACAGAATCATTCTTTAAAATTTAAAAATACAAAATGCTTCAGATCATTGCTCTTCAGTGGCTTGTGGGACCAAAACTGAGTCATGCTCCAGCTTCCTATGAGTTGCACCACTAGCACCATTGCCACTTCTTGTTCTTTTTTTAAAAAAAGAAAGTAGGAGAAAGATGCAAAAAGTTTGGCATACACAGTAAACATTTAAAATGGGCCTATTGCTGTAGTCAGTGAAAAGTGAGTTCCAGGTCTGAAAGGGCTGAACTGACCAGATAGCTATTTTAGGAAGAAGGGAATTTCCTGGAGGTGGAAAACAAGAAGGTATGTATTACCACCCATATGGCAAAGAACTCCATGTGAGGTGATGACATGTGAGCATGGAGCATGTTGCATTCTATGTTGCTTCTAGCAAGGCCTCTCTTAGATATCCATAGATTAGGTGGTGGTGTTTGGAGTGCATTATCAGAGGTAGTTCCTATTGTGGCACAGTAATAGAGGGCTTATTCATTGCTTGTGGTTCAGGGCAGATTTCCAGGAAGGATGTGGTTGGTGTCCTTCTCACAGATATCTTTCCTTTTAGTTGTGGCTACATCTCAACCACTACATTAAATGGCATGATTGTGCTTTCCCTGGGGCAGGATCCCATCATACTTAGATGACTGAATTTAGAGGGTTAGCCAGGATCACATAGGTACTGACCACTCCAGCCTCAGCTGGATTGTTTGCCTGCGACGCTAGCATGGCAGTACCCACCTGATCCTAGCAATCTCAGCTGATTCCGTGATCCACACATTACTGGAACGGCATGAGATCAAGCTGTTGTGCAGAAACAGGAAGCGACTGGCATGGATTCCTAACACTTTAGATCAGCCGTTCCCCACTGGTGGTCTGCGGACGTAACCCACCCAGGGGTTCTGTGGCACCATTCACATAACAAAAACTACCATAAAGCTATCAAAAGTAAAGGGGTCCATGACTTGTTTTGAAAAACTAGGGGGCCCCAGTACTTACCTAATTGGGAACCACTGCTCTCGATTTCCCCAACCCAGAGGGGGGAGACCTGCTCTACAATTAGTTGGGTTGCAGGCTGGCAGCCGTCTCCATCACAGTTCACACTGCTTTGCGGGATAAGGCGAAAGAGCCAATACTCCATTCCTTACAATGAGATCTCATATTTGTAGGCATCCCTCTGTACTGGTTATGTCACGGTGAAGGGGGAAAACTGGTAACTTTGTAAAATTAAGATGTCAGGGAATTTTATTCATGTAGAGTGGGGCAGAGGCAGATTGTCTTTGATCAGTTTCTTATTACTCCTAAGACTGAGGGAGTACAGAAACTAATTTGGTATTAATAGCTATGGATATGCTGAAAAAATACATTTTTCTAAGACTGCAGAAATTGTGTGTATAATGTTTATCTACCCATCTTTACACAACCAAGCTGTATTGGTTACAGAAATTCTGATAACGTAGCCTAGTTGCTCTGATGGTACCAAAACCAGGTGTAAATTGGGTCCATTGAAGTACATGTCATCAGAAAATGTGCAGTTCGTGATGTAGAAATGCGGCTACCCTTTAGGTATCCTTTCTCTCTCTTAGATAATATGACCCTTTCAGAAGCTTAGCTTCTACTGTTTCCAAATGGTAGCCTTCCGTAATACTGGCTTTCCAGTTCTTAGCCAATTGCAGAATAACTTGACTGCCATCTTAGATTAAAATGTTCTATCTACTCAATGCTATTAAAAATTGTGGGACTGTACTCCAGTCATGCCAGGACCTGTAGCTTAAACTGCTCAAACTTAACATGATGGGTTTCCCATTCTGTTGGGGTGAAGTCACATCCTGCCAGTCTGAAAGGGTGATGCAGACGAGGGCCTGTAGGGTTTTGGATGCATTGTCGTTGCATGCTATATATGCAGGGACGCTGGTTTACTGTAAGTCATTCTGCAACCAGAAAAGCCAAAAGCAGCAGGTTTACTATGAGCAGAATCAATTATGCAGGTACAAACAATTGACTGTGGGTGCACAGATTGTGGATGCAAACTCAGCAAAATCTAAGGTGGGTCCTTAGCAATTTAAGGCACTGCCACCTGTTCTAGAAGATGTACTCCAAATTGCAAACTAGTACAGCGACAAAGTCCGTAAAGGGGAAGGAGGTGCTTGGGTACTCTGGGTGAATTGGTGGGCTGCAGTTAGGATCAGGGAGCTGTAAAATCATCCCTCCCCCCCTTCCACCCACCCAGACCCCTTCTAGTTTCAGGAACTTTAACAGATTAATACATTTTTTTCAGTTTTTCCCCCCCTATCCTTGAGAGCTAGAAGCTTGCTCACTTTAAAAAATAAAATAAAAATTAAACCGGGGCTTCTCCAGAGTAGGTTGGCTCCTCTGGATTCTACACCGGAAGCCAAATTCTCAGCGTGTTTCAGAGTGTGCAGAAAACCAGGGTCCCTGATTCTGTGTCCTCTTGTGCTGCAGGAGGAACATTTTTAAAAAGTGCTTTTATTAACTATTGTTCTGATGTCACTTTACATAAATCTTTTTCCCCCCTCCATGATTTTTGTTTTTCTACAGCGTGGCTGACAAGCCTAAAACGCAGCAGAAGAGGCAAGAAATGTACCCCAAACCTTGCATTAGGTGTGGAACAATATTTCAATGTTTCCTTTTTGCCCTCTGTTTGCCTAAATCTCTAGATTAGCTAAGGGCGGAAGCACCTCTGTTTTGGGGCCCCTGGTTGTCTGTATCTGTCTCAGCCAAGGTCGCTCCTTTGTTTTCTTTTTCTAGTTTAAGACCATTGTGATCACCTGGCTTAGTAAAGCAAGGCTGTGATTAGGAGGAGGTGGGGTGGGGGGAAAACTGGCTTCTGCTAATCCTGCGGCAGACACATGTCCTCTAGATCCAACCCATTCTGTCTACATTTCTAAAACTCCACACAAACACTCGCACCTTAACAACATTGTGGAAATTATATGCAACGATAAAAAAGATCAAACCACATAATTGTACAGTTGGACAGAACAGCACATCACAGTATATCATAGCAGTAGCAAGGCAGAATCCGAGTTTCCAGATTTTTAAAACGTTTCCTGAAAGACAGCACGGAGGAGGCTGCATGGCAGGGGTGGCTAACCTGCAGCCCTCCCAGTTGTCAGGCTGGCTGGGCTGATGGGGGTTTGTAGGCCAGCAGCATCTGAAAGGCTACAGGTTTAGCCAATTCCTTTTGGAAGGGAATTCCAGGGCATCAGGGCTTTTAGAGCCAAGCGGTATATCAATGTTGTGAAATAAAATAAAAATTACTTTTCATGGAATCAGAGAATTGTAAAGTTGGAAGGAAGCCCCAGGGTCACCTGCTCCAACCCCCTGCAATGCAGGAATATCAATTAAGCATCCATGACAGATGGCCTCTGCTTAAAAACTTCCTAGGAAGAAGAGTCCACAACTTCCAGAGGGAGTCTGTTCCACTTTTAGAGGGGGTTTTTTTCCAGTTGCTTTACACTGCCCTGATGTTCTGTGAGATGGCAGCAAATAAATACACTTATTTATTTTAAAAATCTTAAGTATTAGGAGGGCCTCTTCCTGGTGAAGTTAGCTTCCCCGTAAGTTGGATTTTGGAGCAGGCTCTCATTGGGAGACCTTAAGTACAAGGCTGACAGGGACAGAGTGTCAGCTTCATAGTCACAGGAAGCCAAGAGCCCAGTAGCAAAATCTCACCAGTGAGCTTTGTACAAAAAAAGGCAATCCCTGAGCCCACTTAGAGGGTTTTATACAATCAAGTAGTATGTACATTTTGATAAAGTAAAATAAGATACTCCCTACCAGTAGACCTGGGAATGACCTTTAGCCCAAACATGTATTAATTTTTAAACTAAAATTGCAATATGGAATCCACTGTTTACCATATGTGGTACTAGTCAAGCAGCAATGTGTCTAAGGGATCTGTTCCTACAGGCAGAAGACCTTTGCTCTAGACCAGACCATTTAAGTCAGGGGTGGGGAGCTCTCCAGATGTGGTTGAACTCAAACTCCCAACAGCCCCAACCAGGGGTTTACAGGAATTGTATTCCAGCAACATCTGGAGAGTCCCAAGTTCCCTAGCCATGGTTTTGAGCTCTTTTCTGGGCACAGAATCACGTTGTATTGTACCTGGAAGCTAACCAGATGCCAGCAATGACATAGTTAGCAGGTGCTGTGTGAATCTGCACAAGCAGGATTTCCTATATTTAAGTAAGGTGTCCTTTCAAATGTCTCACAGGCATGATTTATAACTAGTTATGTTTATGTTAACATGCTCCTGTTGCTGAGGTCCGCTCCATAAAAACATAAAACCATGAATAGATAGATAGATAGATAGATAGATAGATAGATAGATAGATAGATAGATACAGTGGTACCTCGCAAGACGAATGCCTCGCAAGACGGAAAACTCGCAAGACGAAAGGGTTTTTGGTTTTTTGAGTTGCTTTGCAAGACGATTTTCCCTATGGGCTTGCTTCGCAAGACGGAAACGTCTTGCAAGTTTGTTTCCTTTTTCTTAACACCGTTAATACAGTTGCGACTTGACTTCGAGGAGTAACTCATAGCACGCGGTGTGGTAGCCTTTTTTGAGGTTTTTGAAAACTTTCCAACACCGTGCTTCGCAAGACGAAAAAATCGCAAGACGAAAAAACTCGCGGAACGAATTAATTTCGTCTTGCGAGGCACCACTGTAGATAGATAGATAGATAGATAGATAGATAGATAGATAGATAGAGTACAACAAGGGTGTGAGAGCAAAAATATGTGGAAAGCAACAACAACAAAAGATACACTGAGTGAAAACACCAGTGTCTTTTTAGAAGTGCCTGTGGGGTGCAGAGCTTATTTGAAGGGACACAGCAGGGGTGGGGAACCTGAGTGGCCCTCCAGAAATGGTTGGCCTCTGTTGTCAGGGATGGATGGGAGTTGTACTCCTGCAACTTCTGGAGGGCAACATCCTCCCCACTCCTGGGATAGAGGGAGGAATAGGAAAGAAATATATGGAAGGAGCAGCAAACTCCTGGTCAGCTGCTGCTTTAAAGTATGGTGGCAGGACTCACAGCGCCTCCAGAGCCATTATCTGAAATGTAGGAGATCCCTAATTTTAGATTCTTACAGTAGTAGTCCTGTCTTAACTTCAGTCGCTCAACTGCTTGGCAAGAGTCGGGCGGGGGGGGGCAGGCAGCACAGAGCAGGTGTTTTGTGATCATTCCTGTCTTGTATCGTTAAGCAGCCAAAAGGTCACATTCTGATTAACTACTGCCTAGGGCTGAGTTTGCTCTGTTTCTGGGTTGAGTTACCAAACTCTGCATCGAGAAAAGCCAAGTGATCGGCCTGTCTAAATTACACAAATTGAACCCATTTTGCCCAATTTCACTTAAATTTTGTGTAATTTATTCTGCACTATTCTGACTTAGCTACTCATTGAAAGGGGCACTCCGGCCACAAAGTTCTTAGATCCACCAAGTCAGCTTCTGAGTTTTCAGCAGGTTTTGCCCACACACTTTTAACTATATATTTGTAGACTCCACCCCCTTTTTAATGAGAGCTTAAGATTATTCAAGAAGATGGTGTTACTTTCAGCAGTTCCGCAGAATTATAACATATACATGTAGCCACATCTCTAAGCAATGGAGATGTGCTGGTAAATACCAATATAGACTGCATTTGCACCATAAACTATGGCTTATTGTGACGTGCAAAAGCTGCAGCCAGCCTCAGGGTCCTTCCTCTCCCATGGTTGAGATGGACTTCAGAAGCTTTTCCTTTCAGTTTTTGTGAACCACAGCTACCTCCTTCATTAAGACTGTAGATCATACATTGCACTAGCTATGACTAATTTAAAGAAGCAAGTCCCATGCTTTGAAGTCAAATTTTCTTCTTCTTCTTTCTTCGTTGGTGATCATTCATAGCCAAGCAAAATTGTCTTCCATAAACACAGTTTTAACAGTGAGTCCGTAAGTGACTGTGGAGGCCAATTCTGGACCCACACATCCTTCCACAGTGGGGACATAGGTTTCCGGGTGGGAGTTGATCATAGTGAGGGTTTGCTAAGCGTGCCTTCCTCTTAGCACATTTCTCCCTTTCATCCTGAGTTTGAGAGTCTTCAAAGCCCACCTTTGGTCAAGGCTGTTCTCCAATTGGAGCACTCGCAGGCCGGTGTTTCCCAGTTGTCAATGTTTATACTACACCAATTTGTTTTTAAGCTGAAACTGGCCATAGTTAGGGTTGAACCATGATCCCCCAGTTCCAATGAAATGGAAAGCCCTGGTCTAGTAAACTTAGAGCTTCCAAAGTTGTCATCCTGGCAGCATGTGAAGGGATAGGAGAGAGTGGTCTTATGACCATTGTGGCTTATGCACATCATAATAGGTTTATCTTTGTGTGTGAATGTGGTCTCAAGAATAGACACTGGAGATCACTTGGTGAAATTGCTTGGCAGGAGATTGAGGACAGTCTAAAGTTCTTCACACAGCACATAATTATATTTTGGATCTCACTGGGCAAGCGATGATGTCTGACTCAGATAATTTTGAAAGGGGCTTGTTTGTTTAGGACATTTTATAATCAGCTAAAGATATGTAGCCGTGTTGGTCTGCCATAGTCAAAACAAAAAAAATTCCTTCCAGTAGCACCTTAAAGACCAACTAAGTTAGTTCTTGGTATGAGCTTTCGTGTGCATGCACACTTCTTCAGATACCTGAAGAAGTGTGCATGCACACGAAAGCTCATACCAAGAACTAACTTAGTTGGTCTTTAAGGTGCTACTGGAAGGAATTTTTTTGTTTTTATAATCAGCTTCATGGAAAAAAAAGTTGTGTGCAGATTAGTCCAACTCATGGATGGATAAGGGAAAAGACCATCCATACCAAAACCTCTCCAGGTAGAGCCAGGGAAGACTCCTGTCTGAAACCCCAGAGACAGCTGCTGTCAATCAGTGCAGGGGATGATGAGAGGTGGACCAATGGTCTAGCAGTATATGCCAACTTCCTGTTAGGCCAATTTACAGCAGTTGACTATGATGGTTAAATTTCAGAGGCAGAGCACCACTGAATATTGGTTGCGGCAGAACAGTAGCAGGAGAAGAAGACTATTGCCTTTGTGCCCTGCTTATGGGCTTCTCCAAGGTCCCTGTAGGAAACAGGGTGACAGGCTGAATAGGCCTTTGGTCTGATTCAGCTACATCGTTATTTGTAGTTACTATTGGGTTTGAAAACCAAGTCTTGTGGTCAATAAGGCATAGGTTGCTGAAACAGCCAGCCTGGGGTACATATTCCAAGTGGAAATATCACTGTGTTTTTTCCCCATTTAAAAAAGATTGCGGCACAAATTACATCTATGGGATGGGATGGGCAATTGAAGAGGAGGTGCTTCTATCTCTGCTGTGCCTTGTAATCTCTGCCCGCTTTCGAGACTCTTGCCTGGGATCACCAACAACGGTAGATGGAAGCATCCCAGTAATTATGAAATGAAGAGCCTTTATAATTAGCATGTTGCCAAAAGGGCAGAGCCGGTTGCCATTGTTCCCAGGCATTGGAGCTAAGCCTTGAGCTTAAAGCAGGGTTATAAGGGAGAATTGTTCACTAGGAATCTTTCCTAAAGGAAGATACATACTAAATTCCACATGGCCAGTAGCAGAAGTCCACCTGCACTGAGAGTTTAAAAACACTTGCAGGAGAAATTATTAGCAGATTCTTTGGAAGGCTCCAAGGTGAGCATCACTAGGGTCATTGATTGAATGGTTTCAATTAGCTTAATGGAATGGAGCTGTTATGGAGTCCAGCTGCAGTACAGTTTGAGCATCTGCTGTTCTCTGAGTGGCAGGAGCCAGTGATGGAAACACGGGTCGGAAATCGTTTCAATCTGCTTCTGCTCCCTGTTTCCATTATCTCCGTTGTAGGGTCCTCACCTTAAACAGTGGGAAGTGTTCCCAGCCAGGGGAATCAATCCTTTAATTTTCCCATCTGAAAACCGAAACCCGGTAGCTTAGAAAGCATTGAAGGGGAAGCCAAGACCACCCAGATTAATTAGAAACTCGTGAAAATTTGGTTGTTCTTTTACATCCGCTTGTGGCCTTGGGAAGTTTTGTTTGGATGTAGCTCTTTTGGATAACATTTTCTTCAGATACCCTGGAGTTTGAAGCAGGAAGCTCATGCCCATGAGGCTGTCTCTTAGCTATTTAGAGTTTATGGGGACTGCCACAGCTCAGGCCTCAGAGTTCAGGTGTAGAAAGAAATAAGACCAACCCCTCCAATTGGCAGGCAGTATTAAACCTCTCACTTGCCCAGGCAAGGTCTAAATATTTGGAGCCTGGCCATTCAGTGGATTTCTATCCTACTTTTTGATAGGAGTCCCCAGAGCTGCTCACAACATTCTAAGTTTTAAGCACCCCAGGTATGGATTTTGGTACCCTTTGCCCTGACCCCGACACACTTTAGCATATGCAATTATGGAGATGCGTGAGCAGAAAAAAGAAATGTCATTATCAGACTTCCATAGCCAAGTAGGGATGCAGATGGGGAAAGCATGGGGAGAAGACGTGCATTCATGTAACTAAGGTTGATTAAAAAACACCATGTACATAGAATCATAGAATGGTAGAGCTGGAGGTACCACAAGGGTCATCTATTCCACCCCCTGCAATACAGGAATCTTCTGCCCAACATGGGACTCAAACCCACGACCCCAAGGTTAAGAGTCTCATGCTGTGCCAACTGAGCTACCCTGAAGAGCACTCTATAAGTGATAAATAATAATAATACCAAAAATAACATTGTCTTGGTTCATACAAAACACTAGACCAAACTGTCTTAGTTCTCCTGTTGCTGCACTGCCATGGTTTGGCCTGGCATTGTATGTGAACTCAGGCCTGTGGTCTGCCTTCCCCAAACAAGCCACTAGCAATAAACCAAGGACACACCTTGTTTGCAGCCCATAGCTGTTCAGATCAAGGCACACCATGAGCTTGCGTTCACACACACTGAACACTGAGCCAAACTACAGCTTAGCTCTCCGTAGAGTAACTACGTGCTTGCTCGATCTCACTGAGCTATAGTTTGGCTTAGCATTAAGTAAAAATTAGGCCTGTGCATGTTATCTGCATACCAGCCCATTATTCTCAGGAGTGCCGGGTGTTCAATCAGTGGACAGAAATTCAAATGCACCCAGACTGAGAATCCTAAGGGCAGAAAGGATTTCAGGCATGCTCGCTTCGGCAGCACATCTAGCAAAATTGGAACAATACGGAGAAGATTATCAGAAAGGATTTCAGGCATCACCAAGTTTGGTGGTGAAGTCATTGGATCCTCTGGCTTTTATTTTATGTGTTCAAGAACCGAATCAATCTGAAATGAGTCAAAAGCGGAGGCTCTGACAAAAACAAATTATTCTTTCTCTTTCTGTATCATGACATGGGAGTCAGAAAGAACACTCCCTTAATGTAGAAAACAAGCAGACCAGGGCAAGACGTTTATTGCAGGCTACACCCTGATGTGCTGGCTCAGTAAATTCCAGGAATTCTACGTGGAATATAAAATGTGGCCAGCTCCCACCTTCAATGTGACATGATGTAGTTGGGATTTTTTAAAATCGTAGAACAGCTTTCAGTGAGTTGAAGAAGTTGCGGATTCCCCCTACAAACTGCCTGCACCTCCCTTAGGAGAAGCCCAAACGGCTTAACTGGCATGGTGTTCTGTTCCTTAATGACATTGGGCCCCTTTTGCTTTTATGTATGTGTGTGTTTGTGTTGCCTTCTCCTATCGCATTGTCTTCTCTCTCCATGGCACAAATACAACTTGATGTTTGGCTTCTTTGCAGGTCAGCGTCTGTTTGGGGAGACAATCCTGGGGCTAACACAAGGTTCAGTCTCAGATCTGCTGGCACGTCCCAAGCCCTGGCACAAGCTGAGCTTGAAGGGCCGGGAGCCGTTTGTTCGCATGCAGCTATGGCTCAACGACCCCAACAACGTGGAGAAGTTGATGGACATGAAACGCATGGAAAAGAAAGGTAATTTCCATCATGCCTGCAGCTATGCCCATCTTTCTCACCTTACATGCTCTTGGGGTCTGAACTTGCAATGACGGATGAGGCACAATTATCACCACCAGTACAGACTCCATGACTATATTTGTAAAATTATTGCCCTGACATGCATCAATTATTTTAGTACTTGTTTACGTTGAATTGCATTTTCCATTTTACCATCCATTCAAACAAGTTTGGAGAGGTCCTTTTGGAACTCTTACAATATCTATTTTTAAAAATGACCCTGAACAATCTAGTATCATCAGCAGACTTGGCCACCTGAACACTTAACTCCTAACTCTAGATTGTTTAAAAGGTAAAGGGACCCCTGACCATTAGGTCCAGTCGTGACCGACTCTGGGGTTGCGGCGCTCATCTCGCTTTATTGGCCGAGGGAGCCGGCGTACAGCTTCCGGGTCATGTGGCGAGCATGACTAAGCTGCTTATAGCGAGCCAGAGCAGCGCATGGAAATGCCATTTACCTTCCCACCGTAGCAGTACCTATTTATCTACTTGCACTTTGAAGTGCTTTCGAACTGCTAGGTTGGCAGGAGATGGGACCGAGCAACGGGAGCTCACCCCATCGCGGGGATTCGAACCGCCGACCTTTTGATCGGCAAGTCCTAGGCTCTGTGGTTTAACCCACAGCGCCACCTGTGTCCCTAGATTGTTTACAAACAAGTTAAAATACCTATCCTGGGGGTGGGGGGTTCCTGCTTCTACATTTCTCTATTCAGAGAACTGTCCATTTATTCCTACTTTTTGCTTCTTGCAACTTAAATCAGCCCCTGATCCACAAGAGAACCTCTCTTCTTACTCCTTAACTTCTAAGCTTACTTTGGAGTCTTTGGTGAGGTACATTGTCAAAAGCTTTTCAAGTGTCTTTGGCACTTCTGTTTCGACCTGCAGTGATTTGGCCTCTCTGCTATTCTGTGCCCAGGCACACTCACAGCGCCTAGTTCCCCGCCACCCCCATTTAAATTTTCATCAGTTTAATCATATTCATTCAGGGGGGAGATTCATTCTGAACCAGACCCTCCTCAGCTCCTGTCTGCTCCCCCCCCCAAAAAAAAAAATCATTAGTTGGGAATGCTTATTCTGACTTACCAAAAGATTAGCATACAATTTATCTACCCCAGTGGCTTAGAGATTGGACACAAAACCCCTGGTTCATGTCTTACCCTTGCCGTAGACTTGAAAATAAGCCTGGGGTAGACAATGTGGTCCACAGCATCTGAAGGGGCACCGCATTAGCTACCCCTGGAATAACCTACAGTACAGGTTATTGAGAAGGTGGGAGATTCAACACGGACAGGCTGCATTGCCAACTATACCCATCTGTAAAATGGCTATAATGAGTTACCTTACACCACGTTAGGACCATTGGTCCATCTAGCATCAGTGCTGTCAACCCTTATTGACACCAGATCTATGGAGCTCCGGGGCAAGTCTACAACCTGACATCCCTTGAGCATAAATTGAAAATTGGTGTAGCAAAGGATCTATGAATCCTGAGGTATAAGGTGCAAAATTGTACCTCTGCCAAGAACTCACCAGGTGACCTGGGGGCAAAACCTCAACACACCTACCTCCAAAGTAGAGATATCAATACTTGCTGCATTTCTGTAAAGATTACAAGAAAATGTACTGCACATGTTGTTGTTACTTAGTAATTTAATAAACTTAGCTGTGATTTCTGCTGCCTCCGCCCTTTCTCTCTTCCTTCTATGGCTTGCAGGCAGGCAATCGAGGGCAATGTTGCCAATTGGCGCATGCTACAAAGCAAAGGGCAGTGCCACCCAGCTCCCCAGAGGCCTCAACTGCCCACCATTTTAATCTCAAAAATGGCTAGAGCCAGGGCAAGAGTGACCATGAGCTCTGCCAATCTGATCCTGGCTTTGGTTTATGAGGGTTAATAATACATTTATATCCCACTTTTCCTCCAAGGAGCTCAAAGTGTCATACATGGTTCTCTGCCCCAACCCCACTCCAATTTCAGTCCATTTCAACCCCGTGAGATATGTTAGGCTGAAAGAGGGTGGCTGGCCCAAGGTTGCCCAGCGAGCGCCGTGGCTGTGTGGAGATTTGAACCCTGGCACCCCAGGTCCTTAGCCCAGCACTCTAACCACTGCACCCACACTGCCATATGCTTACCAATCTGTCCTTTCATACATGCCGGCTCTCCCAGTTCCTTGGCTTTGTGCCTGAAATGATCCCTGTGGTTTCCTTTTTGTCTTTCAGCGTACATGAAACGAAGGCACAGCTCAGTCAGCGACAGCCAGCCTTCGGAGTCTTCTTCAGCGGGCATCGATTACAGCCAGGGGGCCAGTCCACAGCCGCAGCATCAGCTAAAGAAGCCGCGAGTTGTGTTGGCCCCAGAAGAGAAAGAAGCTCTGAAGCGAGCCTATCAGCAAAAGCCATACCCATCACCAAAAACCATTGAGGAGCTCGCCACACAGCTCAACTTGAAGACCAGCACCGTCATTAATTGGTTCCACAATTACAGGTAAAGTGCTAGGGAGCCTCTGTTGATAGTTCTGTCACTGAGTGAAGCTTGGGGGTCTGTGACTGCACCAGAGGGTCTTCTCAGAAATGGCCATCCCAATTATGAAATGCGCCCCCCCAGTGGCGGAGCTTCATACTCCAGGCACCAGAGGGCGGAGAGCAGGTGGGGGCGTGGCTGGCACACATTCCGGGGGCATGGCACACGTCCTCCTCCTTGCAAGAGTGCTTGTGCTTGGCTTCTGCTTGGGGGGTTCCTTGGGGGCATCGGGTTGGCCACTGTGAGAACAGGATGCTGCACTAGATGGGCCATTGGGCCTGATCCACCAGGCTCTTCTTGAATTCTTAGTTGCTTGAGGAGTGGGAAATGTTATAAAGATAATTAGTATTGTATCAAGACCTACATTGGCTCCCAGTACGTTTCTGAGCACAATTCAAAGCATTGGTGCTGACCTTTTAAAACCCTAAATGGTCTCAGCCCTGTATTCATGAAGGAGCGTCTCCAACCCCATTGTTTTGCCCAGACACTGAGGTTCAGCTCCGAGGCCCTTCTGGCGGTTCCCTCCCTGCAAGAAGTGAGGTTATAGGGAACCACGCAGAGGGCCTTCTCGGTAGTGGCTCCCATCAGATGTCAAGGAAATAAACCACTACCTGACTTTTAGAAGACATCTGAAGGCAGCCCTGTTTAGGGAAGTTTTTAATGTTTGATGTTTTGTTGAGTTTTTAATATTCTGTTGGGAGCTGCCCAGAGTGGCTGGGAAAACCCAGTCAGATGGGTGGGGTGTGAATAATAAATTATTATTACAGTGGTATCTTGGGTTACAGACACTTTAGGTTACATACGTTTCAAGTGACAGACTCCGCTAACCCAGAAATAGTACCTCAGGTTAAGAACTTTGTTTCAGGATGAGAACAGAAATCGTGCAGCGGCAGCGGAGGCCCCATTAACTAAAGGGGTGCTTCAGGTTAAGAACAGTTTCAGGTTAAGAACAGACCTCCAGAACAAATTAAGTTCTTAACCCGAGGTACCACTGCATTATTATTATTATCACCTGAACTTACATTACTGACATATCAGTGACCGTCTTGACACCGTCTTCCCCTCTCGCCTACACTTTCTCTCTCCCCTCCCAGGTCTCGCATTCGCCGAGAGCTCTTTATCGAAGAGATCCAAGCGGGAGGCCAGAGCCAGGCTGGGTCCAGCGACTCTCCTTCGGCCAGAAGCAGCCGGGCAGTTCACAGCTCCGAAGGAGACAGTTGTGATGGGGTGGACGCGGAGGGCCCGCCCGACGGGAAGCCGGGAAGCCGCCTGGAAGCCGACGAGTACAGCAGCAACACAACCACAAAGTCTCAGGGAGGGCGAGCAGCGTCAGCTTTCGATGCAGGGGAAGAGGCACTGCGAGACGCCGGATCTTCGGAGAAAACGGAGACATTCCACTTGGGGGCGGAGAGCCTGGACGACACTGACGACGAGGGGAGGCTCCGAGCGCCGCGTCCGAGTTCTCCGCCGGGCTCCCTACATTCAGGAGAAACTCTGGAGACGACGCCAAACTGTGCTCCAGAAGAGGATGCCTCTACCTCAGCTGCCTCCACCTCGCTCCTTGCAGGGGAGAGCTCCTGCAAGGCCGCAGGGGAACGTGTGGAGAAAATTCCCATTGTGCCAAGTACCAGCTCCACGCCAGCCACCAACTCCCTCCAGACCCTGTTCGGCTTCTCCGAGGCGGTTTGCTCGAAGAACACGCGGGACAACACCTTGAGGAAAAAGAAGGCAGCGAATTTGAACAGCATAATCCACCGCCTAGAGAAGGCCGCAAGTCGAGAGGAGCCCGTGGAGTGGGAGTTTTGAGATTAAGCTCACCCAACTCTGAGGAGCTGGGGAAGTAAAACACAAAAAACAAAAACACACACACAAAAAAACACTTGGACCTCTTCTGGTTTTAATTGTGTCCCGCACTTACAGCCCTGCAGGCCACGGGGCAAAAATGCCATAGGCCAAGGTGCATATAGAGAACGAAAGGAGCGTTTCAGCCCAGTTTTATGTTTGTGTTTTCAAGGACGAAAACTGAAAATGTGTAGTCGAGCTTTTTGTACCCCGAAGTGTTTCTATTAATTGCCCTAAAGTGATTTTCCACAGTTTCTGGGGAAGAAAAAAAAACTCATACAGCTTTTGCCTTCTGCCCTCCTCTTTGGTGTGGGCTTTAAAACTAAAAAAAAAAATTATATACAAACAAGAAGAAGAAAAATTAAACCCACATATTTAAAAGGGGGGCTTTTTATCCGCCATCTAATGGCTAAACAGAGCGATAATAATACACTATTATCTTCTTTAAGCAGGAAAACCGAAAAAAGATGGAAGGGGAGATTTTTTGAGAAAAAGAAAAAAAGGTTTTTTGTAGCTGTTCAGTTGCCACTAAGAGATTGCACAGTCAACCCGACTCTAAACACACTAGTTTGAATTCCTAAATATTTTCAAGAAAAGAATATTGTTTAAAACTTGGGATTTAAAAAAAAAATACACATTTACTCCTCGTATTTTTTAAACAAAAGAGAAAAGTCACATCAGGAAAATATCTTAATTTGTGGTAGCTGACTTCAGTGTTTTTCTTGTAAAGTGGAATAGAAAATTGACTTGTAGTGCACATCGTTTCATAGCTTTAACCAATTCTGGTCTCTTTATGGGCTGGGATTTGTTTAATACACTCCATTTTAGGCCAAATCAGGACAGAAAAAGGAAGAAATCTGAAAAAAAAAAATCTGAAATCTAGGTATTTTATAATCTGCTTTTTAACCTCTAACCACAGAGCACGCAGATCAGACCTCATTTCTAGGAGGTGTGGGAGACAGCTTGGAATGGGTACTTGATCGGATCAGTTTGAATTGCGTCATACCAGCCTTGCAAATCAGTTACAAGTCCTCAGCCTGCCTAGTCACACATGCCTACATTAGTCATTTGTGGCCTATGGGAAAAGAACCACCAGCTTTTGAAAGAAATTAGCTCACTTGGTTGCAGACAGGTGGGTGTCATAATGAGCCTACGTTATACGTAGGACCTTGGCAGGGTGGTGGTGTTGACTAGAAGGATGGAAGCGTTTGGCTGATACCACTTTGGGAAGAGTGGAGGTGCATCTTGCATTGAGAAGCACTTAGAACATGAGAGGGGAGCCTTCAGTTGATGTTTGACTACAACTCCCACCAACCTTGTCCATTGAGCATGCCAGCTGGTGCTGATGGGAGTCGGAGTCCAGCAACATCTGAAGGTGGGATGGGTTCCCCACTCCTGACTTACAGTGAGCTGTCTTGATGGCAGGCGGTGAGATCAGTCACTGGGCACTTTCTTGTTCTCACATCCCACTAAGATAGAAAAGGACCTTTCAGCCCCCTTAACTAATTGGTTAATCACTGGCTGTGGTCCCACAGCAAGCACTGATTTCTCTATTACGTTTCAGTTGTGGGATTATTATTATTATTACCATCCTTTTATGGCGGGGGGGGGTGTCCTCATTAACAAAAAGAGGAAAGGCTTGCAGGAGGAGCCCGTGGCATTCGGTAATCGCAACGTAAACCACAGAACACCTAACCAAAACATGCGCAGAAGCATGGCGCCCATCGCAATTGTCAGCTCTTCCACTTTGTTTTGCAAAAGCTGCAAGGCCGATCAAAGTACAGAATCAAATTTCCAAATTGTCTCTGACGCCTCCTGTTGTCTATGTGTATATGCGTGAGCATAGAGCCGTGTGGAAAGCCGAGTGTGTGCGTGAGTGTGTGTGCAATTTTATACGTCTGTATTTTCTTACGTACTTCTTGCACGCATAGAGTGCATTACTGCCACCTTTTTTCAATAAGCTGTTTTATCAGTTACGGCTTCTACAAGTTTGCTGATTTAGACTCCTTTATTGCCATATCTTTAAAACTAACGATAGAACGATTTCGGTATATATATATTATTTTTGCTTATTTATAGGTGCTGTATTTTATTATCTGATTGTTAGGGATGAAAGGGGGCAAATATTCTTTAGAGGGATAGACTGCCGGCAGTATTGGGTATAATTTACAAGATGTAGTTGTCATACTGTATATTATTGACAGACTTTTTCTTTTCTTTTGTTTTTTTGGGTCCGTATTGTGTATCATGGAAAACTTTGTCTTAGGTCAACATCTTTTGATGACACTTTAATGGTGCATTCATTGCTTCTTAAGTTCTAATTAATATTTTTTTCTTTGTGATATGGGGAGGGGGGCAGGGGGAAAGGTATTCTGAGTTTTAAAAATGTGTTCCCAACATTACACCTCAACATGCTTGAAGTTCATTAGTAATTGATATGGGGGGAGGGGCTACAAGATGTGAAACCACCTTCCTTGCACGTGTTTTTTTTTTTAAAAAAAAGGCAATTGTGTATTTTGCAGTCTCTTTTCAAGGATTGACAGCAGCACTTAGTTCAGATCTTCACAAATTTAAATGTTTGGTAGCTTTAAAAGAAAAAAATGCCTTTTCATGGCCCAGGACGAAGGCTCTAGGAGGCTGCAAGGCAGGCTTGCTTTGACCACTTCTTGCTGTTAATTTTATAATTTCGTAACTGTTTTGAGGATCCGAATGTCGGAGCTTGAGGTCCACCGACAGCTCTTGGTTTGTTCCATCATGATCTGAGGAGACGTATTTGCAAAAATTGTGGCTGATATGAGAATCTGGGCAGCAGAGAAAGCCCAGCTGTTCCAGAAGAAAATCTGGAGAAGTAAATAAGCGCTGGTGATTCTTGACGTAGGCATAATCACCCTTTCCTAGCAGATAAACCTTCTGCTCTTGGCACATACATGAAGGCCGTGGTACAGCGGCTCTTAACATATGCATGGAATTTTGCGTGAGCATATCAGAGTGGGACTCGTGACTAAGGGGTTGCTCAGCTTCTGCCATAAGAATTCCCCACTTGCTTCTCCAAACAGGATCTGCCTCTCTTTCTCAAATCTTCCTGTCAGCTTACCCATCTTCACTTTTATCAGGGCCAAGCGTCTGAGTCGATGAAGGAATCCGTTCTTGCCTTCAGATGTTTGTATCTTTTCTTACAGCAATAGATCTCCCGTTCTGATGTTTCCTCCCCTCCCAGATAGATATGAGGATGCTTGCCGCCGTCAGGGCCCCATGATTTGATGTCTCCCCATGGAAACCTGCATCCCATAACGCTGTTACTTGTGTGGTTTAGAGCATGCCCTAGCCGAGCAGTCAGAGTTCTGCCACCCATCCTGATAAGCAATATTGAAGTGCCTTGAAATAACAGAATTCTGGTTGTCTTTCATGTGCTGTGCTTCTCCTCCCCTCCCCACCCTGGTGCCTGTGGAGCATATCGTAAATATTGTGTAACCTCTTTCCTTTTTTCCTCCCTAGGCCCAAGCAGATCTGTCTCGTGTAAAATCTAAGCTTGCTTTAGGGTAGGTGGTTCATTGCAGGGACCCTTATTCACAGAACTGAAGCACTCTTAGGCCAAATCAAAGAAGATGTTGCCGCTCTGCCAGCAGCTGCAAATTTGAAGCAGGAAAGCGCTTGAGATTTCAGTATATAGTTGGCACTGTATTGTCATTTTGGTTCCTTCCATCATTTCTGTTTGGCTTTGAAGGGAAAGGCTGGCATGGACTCAGTAGAGAGATTCCCCTAAAAGAATCATCTGTGCAAGGCCTTCTCCATCCAAAATCTGATTCTTGTGCCTTTGGCAAGAAGGTTTTGGCTGGCTTTTCCAATTAGTTCTCAACTAGGCTTGGTTGGATTTGGGTCCTGGCGAGGTGTGCCATTTGCAATCCGGTTTTCAGTCTTGGGAAATCTAGCGTAACGGCCCCGCTTCTGACTGGAAAGTTCATTGCAGTGCAAAGGATTACAAACCAGTAGTTGTTAGTCACGGTGGTGAAAAACTACATTAAGAGGTCACATTTCAGCAAGTGTAGTTCTGTATTGTACAGCACCTCATCCACAGGCGCTTTCCCTGATACTTTCTTTTACAGCAAACTTCTGGCAATTTTTTTAATGGCTGAAGCTTACTGCCATGCAGTAGTTCCCTGCCAGCCCCCAGCCAGCCCCCCCCCCAAAAAAAACCATGGGAAAATATTCTAGAGAATTTTAACAGAAGTGAGGAAGCACATTTCCAACCTGTGCTACAGAAAACCCTGCCCTTGGGGGAAACTACGTTGAGAATACCAATTATAGCAGGCAAGTTTCCTTGAAAAGGCAGCACTATTCATGTAAGTCTGCAGCCTTGGCTAATGTCCCACATGAACTAAGGCTATGCCCAAAGCCCATCCAGAATCGTTGACACGATTCGTCGGGCATTGCATGGATTATTGTGCAACGTGGGAGCCCCAAAGGTGAAGACAGCAGCTCACGCTACTTAGTAAGCCACATCGCACAAGGCTAGTCCTAGAAGCATCCAGCAGGGGAGAATGAGCACCCATCACTGCCTTCATGGCCCTTTCTTTCCAAGTGGGTGAAATTCACCTAAAAGGAAGGCTTTCTCGGGTGCTGTTTTTCTAAGAAAATGTATTTTTTCTCACCCCTGTAGGGGGAAAAGGCCAAATGAAGCCCTCTTTGCAAATGCTTTTTGGAGAAATAGAGCTGTGTATAACTGGCCTCATGAAATTCTTCACAGTTCTACTTTTGCAAAAAGCATTGGCTTCCAAATTCTCTGCTCATTTCCACAAATGAAATTTCTACGCTGTGTGCATAGACAACTTTTAATAACACGCATGTGGTGGAGCTTTTAGCAGTCCCAGTGAGAGAGGGCAGAGCAGCTTTGGGTTCTGAGTTTGTGGAAATGAGCTGATCCTATGAATGCTTTATCAAAAGTAAGCGCCGCTGACTTCAATGTGACTTGGCCCAGAGCCGGCCCTACCATTAGACAGAGTGCGGCAACTACCTTGGGCAGCGGAAGCTGGGAAATGGAGAGCAGCAGCAGCAGCAAGTTTTGTGTACCATGCAACCTGACCTGTGTCTCCAAAGCTGTCTCCTTCCAACTCTATGATTCTATGAGAGGGGGCCGCCCCATTGCCAGTGTTGAAAGATGCAACTGACTGGGCAAAACTTCCGTGCTTGGAAAGATTGGGAGGTGCACCACCTTGTCCTTCTTCCCACACCACCCAATGTATTGAGCCGGGCCTGGACTTGCTCCCAAGGAAGTATGCATTGGACTGTAGCTTTAATCACAGCACCAAAGGGGGACGGATTCCGCACCCAGAGCCCTTCACAGAATGTTTGGTACTATTTGTCAACTGTCCGTATTGACCCACGTTTCCAAAGCATGCTGGCACTGATTTGCAAGTAAATTTATCTCAGAGGAGGAGCACTAACCTGCAGCCCTGAAAGATCAAGCTAACTTGCCTTCTTGCAGGTAGGCAGGTAGCACACTCCCAAGGTAGTTTTCTGGGCTTCTTCAGCGGTCTAATCTCAAAGCCTTGATACGTATATTGATATTCAAATTCATAGAGAATCAGTCTCTTAAGCTTAAGCCAAGAAATAGTATTCTTGCAGGCAGGCAGCTGACTTAAGGGGGTTCCGCATAAGGGGTGTGAGGACATCAGGAAGAATGTTGTGGGAAATTTAGTACCTCTTTGGTTCTAGGCATCATCAAAGAACCATAGTTGGACCCCTAATTACTGACACCTCCTTAGATGAGGTGCAGACTGGCCCAGCTCTTCCTGTGTTTGCCTAGGATAAGGCCTGGAAGAGCCCATTTCCGCAAACACCTTATTAAATGCCTTGCTAGCTGGCAAGCAATAAAAGTTAGAAATTTCTAAACTTGAGGTTGATAATTTTGATAAACTGCAGTTAAAACACAACCCTTGGATATTTTTAAAAGACAAATTAATCAGTACACAGCTCCTGATTTGAAGTGAGTAAACCTGCCAGAGGAACAGTTGCAGGACAAATTACTTTTAACCTCCATTCCAGTTGCATTTTGACTATACATCTTTGTTAAAAGCCACTCCCTACCTTTAGATCGAAGGAGCTCCAAAATAAGAAAGGTGGTCCTTAGAGTTGCACTCCTATCTTTTGTGTGTGTGGCTGTTGAGAGAATAATATGCTTCAAAAAATATGCAATAGATGCCCTTGCGATTTAAAAGGATTCCCCCGCTCCTTTTTGTGTGCGGACTTCTGAAAGAAAAACTGAACAGCAAAGAAATCTCACTTTTAGCTTAAGTATTAATCAAATCAAAAGAAAAAAGTATTAGCAGAATAACATCATGGAGAGCTGCTTCTTTTTAAAAATGTATTCTCTACTAAGCATTGCAGCAGTCAGAGGACACTCAGCAGTTCTGTCTCTCATGCTCCATTTCAAAAGCCCCCAATACTGTCAAATTTTGGCAGTTTCAGAGTTGGCAAAATCCTTAGGAAAGCACCCATGGAAGTTGTTTTGTTTCAGAGTCTTGTGCTGCAGCTGAGAACCTTTCTGAGCACCAGGGAGTGATGGCTGGTGGAATGGTGTTCACACCTCCTTGATGATGTCCCTTAAGTCACCTCCATGACCACTTAGATGCCCTTGGAACCCTGTTGAAGCCGGTTAGCTGATGCCACACCGCTGCTCAGAACTAAAATATTTCTGTACTCCCTTGCTTTCCAAGAAATGTATTGGATTGTGTGAGACTCTGCCTGGAGCAGAATCACCTTGAGTTCAGATACTTTGTGAGCAAATGCAAGAATTTGTCAACATCAACAATGCATGCTTTTATTATTATTAGGACCTATCATTTCCAATTTGGCCTCCTAATCCTACTCATGGTTATATAAACTTGAAGACAGTGAGGGAGGCTCCTTAGGGTGAGAGGATGCTAAGGGCCACTGCCAACCGTACTGGGTTGAATCGGATGGGTGTCATGCCCTGTAGGTGCCCCCAGCTCAAAGAATGATTCCTGGAGCAAGAAAGGCAAAGCAGTGCGGAACCAGCTTTGCACACAAGCAAGGGGCTCGGGAACTGCTGTGGACACTATCACAGCACTTGCTTAAACAGTCAGACCAGGTTTGTGGACAGCGCTAGCTACTCTCCCTCCTCCTGCTCACAGTTCTATGCATCCAAACCCCTTGTGTTCTGGGTAGTGCTAAATGCACCCCAGGCCAGCTGCATTGTGAACACTGGCCAGGCCTGTACCAGGAGAACAGCTCTCCTAGTCGGTCTCCTGTGGACTAGAACTTCCTGTGGGATACATCCAGGAGGTCTTCTCTCTCCAAGGTTAGCTATGAGAGGAGGAGGAGGAGCAGCCTAACACCAATGGACAAAGCTACCTCTGTTCCCTCCACAGGACTAGCAGATTGCTGGTCCCTTATGTTTCAGGCACCACTAAGCACTTAATTATATCGCGTGGAAACAATCCGTTGAAATAAAGTAGTGGGGTGATGTTTTTAAGCCACACACCCAGTTGTTGGGACTTTTAAAGAAATTGGGTTCTTTATAACTCAGTTGTACATTGCTGGGACCTTTTAATGCAATTAACTTGCTGGTGCATTGATCTAGTAGCCATTTGCCACCATTTTTAGTGAATCCAAAATTCCTCCCATCCCACGCAGAATGCTAAATATTTTAGTTGCCACCTTACATGTTTGCTTCCGTTTTCTGAGGTGTCATTGCTTTCCATGGCACGTTAAGCAATCCCTCTGCGCAAATGTCAGCCTCGGAAGGGGGGACATGCGAAGATCTGCTCATCACTGCATGTTTGCTTTCCTATCTTGTCCTTTTTCTAATGAGAAGGTGGAAGCTGCAACTTAAGTAAACTCCACTCCATCCTATATGCCCAAAGGCTGTGGTGGAATACTTACCTGGGAGTAAGTCCCACTGGACCCAGGAGTGCTGGCTTCTGAGCAGAAATGCAGTCTGTCAGTCTGATCCAATGAGTCACTATTTTTCGTGACTTGTGATCTGAATGCATAGTCTAGCACTCCACTGAAGAAGAATCCCAAGGCTCTCTGTGAGCCCAACAACTGACATTGCAGCCAACTGTAAAGATTAATTGTGGACCTTTGCATCTTAGAAAAGTATTACACAAGCACACTTAAAAGTGGCTAGCACCTAGGGCTGAAATTGTTGAAGTAATAAGTTTCATAATGGAAGAAATTAATTAGTTTAATTCATTTAAAAACTAGACACCCCCCCCCCAAAAAAAATATCAATTTTTTAGTCATGGAAGGGAAGCCTGTACTCCTGGATCTGCTACAAACTCTCTGCGTATCATGCAGTTCACAGTCTTCACAACTGCAAGGAGCAGGATATTGGGAGTCCCATACATGAGGGCTCCATGTGCTCAAGGGCATCTCTCATTTATGTATTAAGATTTCCACAAAGGCCCTTGATAAGCATGCATGGAAGCCAGTAGCGGGAGCACATACGCTTCAAATAGTTTTCAAAGCAATTTTGTGTCTTAACTTTAGTCAACAGTCATTACCGAAATACTCAAGACATCCTGTTTTAATTGGAAATGAATCTGTTAAATTCAAAAATATTCATTTACTTAAACCCATTAATCAATTTGCTATCCTTGTTACTCTGGTGAAAACATAATGTATTTAGTTGCATGGATCATTTCTGAGTGCATATAGAATGAGTTGCCTAACTCGTGTCATTTTTGCAAGGTTCATCCATTTACTTACCTTTTAAAAAACAGATTCATTACACAACCTACTTCCTCAAACAACTCCAGATGAACATGGCTGGGATCAACGCAACTCACCCAAAATGTAGGTCTTTGAACAGCCTTGAGTGGCCAGCAGTTAGACCTGGTCATGCACAAACTGTTCCACTTCTTGGGCACACAGCGCTGAAGCCTGAATAAGAATCTTCAACAGCTTGAAAACATGCAGTGCTTTTTATCAAGCAAGAGAGGCTCTCGCACAACCTGTGCATAGCAAAATCAGGATATAATTGTGAAGAACAGGGCATATATCTTTGGTAAGGGCCAGCCCAATTCCTGTCAGGACTGCCCATCTTCATTTTCCACTCCGTTAAGAAACTGCTGAAATAAACACAAGCGCTTGGGGGCACCTTTAATTTGCAGCGTGGTGGCGTGCATTTTCTTATATGAGCATGTGAAGTTGCCTGCAGCCTTCCAGCCACTTGTGCCACCATCTTTTAAGGTACCTTGTCTTTTGCAGCCTCTGTGCAATTTCTAGGGCTGGCGAGGTGGGGAGCCTGCGAGATGTTGCTAGACTCTCAACTCCCATCACCATTGCCCATGATGTCAGTTGGAGTCCAAGAACATCTGCATGGCCACTGGTCCCATACCCGTATTCTAGATTAACCACCTGCCTTTTTAATCAGTTTCATCAATTGGCATGTTACAGGTGCTTTTTGGAGATAACACAATTAAACGAAAGCTGCCACTCGTATCAGTAGCAAAAGCCTTTTGGTGCTGTGCATGCTTACTCAGAAATCATAGAAACGTCGAGTTAGAAGGGGTCCCGAGGGTCATTTTGTCCAACCCCCTGCAATGCAGGAATCTCAACTAAAGCATCCATGACAGATGGCCACCCAACCTCCAAGGAAGGAGAGTCCACCACTTTCCGAGGGAGTCTTCCACTATTAAACAGCTCTTACCTTCAGAAAGTTACTACTGTTGTTTAGCCACACATGTCTAGTGAGCCTTGCTTCCAGTTAAATCTGCCTTAAGCTGCAGTCCTGTACCCATTTACCTGGTAGAAAGCCCTGTTGAAGTCAGCATGGTTTACTTATGAGTAGACTTGCATAGGATTGTACTGTTCAATAACAATCGTTAAAGCTTGCAGTAATTTTGCTGGATTAGCAATGATGCAGTGAAGATTCAAACGCATTTGTCTGCTTACCCGTTGTCTTTGTAGCCACACATGCGGAATAAGCATTATGGGGTTTGGTTTTCGAAGTATATTCTGCAGAAGTTACTATGTATGTAGGACGTCTGCACCTCTGGCATTGGCAGCATCCAACTGGATAATGTCAGAGCACGGACAGGAGGCCAAGCTTTAAAATGTCACCAACGGACACTGGAACGCTTAGGGTGCTGATTCCTTCTGCAATAACCAGCAGCCATGCGGGTTTTGTAACCACAAAGGGGAAAAGGTTGCATATTTTAAGGCCTCGGTTGTTAAAGCTGACCTTTCCCTCCCTGCCTTAGCATGTCACCATGCTGCTTGTAGCTGTGCATGCATCACCTGTGTGCAGGATAGCAATCTTTCCCCCATCATTTTAACACCCCATCACCCTGATCCAGTTATTCCTCACAGTTGCACACACCAAGTACTCATGCCTGCAAGGGATTCATTGCGCACTGGGGCGCACACAGAAGTCATGCTTGAACCAGCTCCCCTGGTCTCTTTGGTGAGGGAGACAGCTTCACATACACAAAATGTGTGTGTGTGTGGATGCCCCTCTGTTGGAATTGTGCACATGAGGAGTCCATGCTGGACATCTCGCTAAACAAAGAGGGAATCTCCTGTGAGTTTCTGCTCTCCAGAGATTTGGAAGGTGGAGGCAAGCGTGGTCTTACAAAATACTGAGCCTGCATACAGCAAGCTGTTCGAGGTGTCTTCTTGATTCCAGTAGAGCTGAGATAAGCTTTAAAATTCATGGCTTTAAGAAAGCAAATCATCATAATGCATTTCGTTTAGTGGTCTATTATGATGGAGAAAAATGAAAGCGTGCCCCCTCAAAAAATAAATTTGGATTGTGTATTTCCCATTTTTAAAGTTGCTTGCTATATTTAAGTAACCAAGTTTACTAGAGAAGGGCAATGGTTATTCACACACACTGTTTTATAATTCTCAGATATATTGAGTTTTATTTAGGAGATTTAGATGAAAGTTTGTGTTTTGCTTTGCGATTTGCTTCCTTTGTCCAAAGTCCTAAATTCTGCTGTCATTTACATCTTTCACAAACTTGCATTTGTTAGCTTCTTCTAACCTGAAATTAACCAGTGATTTGGATTCCTTTCCTTTCCTTTTTTTATTATATTCCCCCACCCCACCCCCAGTTTTTAACAATTTAACAAGCATAACTCTTACACATTCTCAGTCTAGATTATACAGATTTGGATTTCAGCACATATCAGAGAATACCTATCTACTCAGGATCCATTAAGAAAAATGCAGAAATCTGGGTTGTTGGGGCACTAATTTTTCTAAAGCACTTAATAGCATGCATTAAATCTTTGTGCAATAAGAAATATTTGTTTGTAGGGAGCTAACATGTATGGAACGTGTTAAGTGAGCAAATATGAGCTCCTCTGTCTTTGAAGAGTCTGGCAGTGGCCTCTTTGATGGAATTGTGGCATCCATAATTGGTGAAATTACAGGTGGAATTGTGGCATCATATTAGGAACACTGAGTATATGACCGTTTACCAAGTGGTTACAAAAAGGCTGGTACTCTCATTAGGCCAACTGCACAGAGGGACACAGTACTGACCTTTGAGGAGCACAGTTTTATACAGATTAGTTTTTGTGATATCTTAAAATTTCTGATAATCTTTCAAGAATGTCATTTCTACAAGACACCTGCTTTTGAAAATTGCAAGTTAATTTTGGGAGGGCAATGCAAATCGTTTATTTTGCCTATGGCACAAAATAACCTTGCCTACAGTGTGAAATAGCCAGGCACCAGCACTAGTTATGTCCCACAGTTTGCAAAGTAACCACTTGGTAAGGTGGTTGTCCTACCAAGCAACGAGGGAGAATTTTTTGCACTCCGCTTTTTAAATTATTAGGCGTTTACAGGTGTGGATAGATTTGCCTCGTTCCTTGGCACAATGATACACACAGGAAAGGTTTGCCACGTGGTTGCTTGCATGCCACGATTTTGTTTTCCTTTGGTAAAGCATCGTAATCATCTGTCCTCTTGAATTTGTGACTGCAAAACACTCCTCCAAGCTGGTCATCAATGGATTTGAAGACCAGTAACTACAATCTGTTGAAGTGGTAATTACCAAATTTCAATTTTACATAGCTCTGCCTCCATTTGGGGAGCAGACATGTGTTGCGGACATTCCCTGCCAAATTGTACTTCTGTGGCGGCCCTTTTGCACAGCCTAGCTATGACAGGACAGACAAAGTTACGACTTTGCAGGGGGTTGGACTAGATGGCCCTCAGGGTCCCTTCCAACTCTGCAATTCTATTAATCTACCTGATAGACACAATCATGCAAGTTATCTGCTAGGCACTTAGTGGCTCAAACATCCCACCCCACCCACTTCGATACCCGACCTGTCTTATGCAACCTTTAAAGGCACTGAAGCTTCTCGTTCTTAGTCTCTTGGGAAAAGGGACTTAACAATAAGTTCATTCCAGTTTAACTGGGACTTGTTAAAAACAAATGGAAAACATCTGCTTTTCTGCCTCTTTAGTCATCATCATCAGCACTTATCTGTGAAGTGGTTCTGTTAATCAACTGCACCACGAGCATATCGTATCTTTTGTTTCATCCCGAAAACTCGCACAAACATTGAGCCTTTCCTACATGTAATGAGATTATTATTATTATTATTATTTCCCAAAGTGCTTTCCAGAGCTTCCTGCATAAAACTGCAACGGCCATGCTCACATATCTGTCCCAAGTGTACACAGTTGCATGATTCGTGCGTGCAACGTTGCCCCAAGCGAGTGGCTGCGTGGCTTGACTTGCACCTCAGGTGGTCAGCCAAGACTCATATCATTCCTTTGTATATTCTGGATAATTTGTAAATGTGTATAAAATCGTTTTTAATTTAAAGATCTTCTGCTTTTGAGAGTTTAGAAGGACGCAGCTTTGGGCGGGGAGGGCAAGGAATGAAGCAAGCACAAAGCGCTCTGAGCCTCCTTGAGTCTGTGGAATGGGTCCGTGAAGAGGCATTTTTTGCTGTTCCCAAAGTTCATCGCCGTTTCTAGCAAAGTATTTTCAGCCGAGAGACTGCTTTCCTCAGCTAGGTTCCTCTTTCCCCTGAGTGCGTCTTTTCCAAATTTAAAATGGCAAGGTCTGTTTCTGCTATGTGAGAATACCCATCGCATGCTAACATCTGGCAGCACGGAGCGTGTTGACTTTGGTGGTGCTGTGAGTGACGTCTCGCCCTAGGGGTGCGGTTTTGTTTTTGTTTTTTGGAGGGGGGAGAGTTTAAAAGAAACTTCTGCTCCTTCCATTGCCTCTGCACCAGGCCCCATGTGCCATAATAACTCTCCAGAGGTAGACTGAAAAGCAGCTTGGCGTGGAATAGAGATGACCATACACGTGCTCCGTTTGAAAGCTTTCAGGCGAGGGTTAAGGATGGCGTGAGCCATGCAGCTGTCAACTTTGCATCTCAACCTGCTTTTGGGTTTGTCTAGAAATTGATTCTCTGGGCTTTTCAGGTGAGGGAGTGGGGATGAGAACAGGAGACCCCACCCACAGAGGCCGGAAAGGCCCAATAAGTTTTGGGGCCTGAGGCAAAAATCCAAATGTTGCCTCTCTTCTCTCACTCCCCCACCTCTTCTCACTTGATGGTGGTCAAAATACAAGGAGACAGTAAATAACTGTACATTTTGTGGCGTTGCACCACCCTGCCTAATTGGTCCAGGTCTGAGGGGGATTCTTTCATAGCTGTCAACGTTTCCCTTTTTTAAAAGGAAATTCCCTTCTTCCGAATAGGATTCCTCGCAAGAAAAGGGGAAAGTTGACAGCTATGGATTCTTTCTCTGCCCATTTGTAATGATGAACACAGTTGAGTGGTATGGCGTGCAGCTGTTCTTTGAGGAGGTAATAAGAGAGGCAGCAGCTTATGCAGAAACAAAGAAAATGGAGGGAGGAAAGTTGCCTTTTTTGTTTTTAAAAACCCCGTTACTGTGCAGAAGGCGGCTTGCCACTCATTTAGCAAACCCGTGAGGTGATTCCAGGGAGCCCTGGGGTTGTATTCAACTAGGTCCTGTTCAGAGTAGACCCTTTGAGCTTGCCAAACGATAAAGTTACTCACATCCATTCACTTTGGTGGGTCTACTTTGAGTAGGACAAGCCCTGAATGCCACCCCTGCCCTTCCTCGGAGTCTCCGAAGCAAATTGGTGCAACACCTCTCTGGGAGCAAGCAGCCCCCTTGAAGGGTCTTCTTTGGGCATGAGCCAACTGCACAGGATCAAAATGAACAGGAGTCATGTGGGAACATGTCTGGTTAACTTCTGGAGAGCAAGGAGGAGATCCTGGTGGATCGTGCCCCCAGCCAAACCCAACCACTTCCCCCTTCCTTTTTTATTTTTTATTTTATTGCGCTAGTTTGGACTGGTGACGGGCGGGGTAAGGAAGGTCTACTTTTAAAATAATGAGCTTTTGGTAAAGGTGTGTCCCCCCCCTTTAAATTGTTATTCTTTCTTCTCCAAATAGTCTATGCATTTCCAATGTCGAAAGCCGTTTTCTGCCGCTCTCCCCCCCCCCAACCCCACCCCTCCCTGCCCAAAAGGCACTGTGTGTTCTGCTCTGTGGACAACACTCTGAGAATGTCATGTGTGCAAATTTGGACGTTTTAAATCCAAAGTAAATGGCAACCTAATTTTTTTGTTTGTTTGTTTGCTTCCCCGAAGTCCCTTTCCACATATATATATATATATAATTTTAAGTCAAGGCCATGATCCGCCTCAAGAAGCTTGTGTGCACATCCCATTGAAACCTGGGGACTTGCACAGGAGACCTTCCCAGCGGGTCATGCGCTCTGAAGATTTTATTTTTTTGTTTTTATTTTTATTTTTTGCATTTGTGCAATAACTACTTGCCATTTTATCGGGCTAACCTTTGGACTTGCCCTGACTACTAACACAGCACAAAATGAACTCGAAACAAAAAAAAAAAGGTGTATTTTTTTTCCTGAGAATATTTTCTTTTTTAAAAAAAAAAAATTGATGATAAGCTCCATTTTACCCCCGTGTACTTGTGGTGTCCGACATTTTTAGCAGTATTTTATATATATATATATAAATATTATATTATTATTATTATTATTTTCCTGTAACGCACTAAGTCTTAGATGTTTTTAGACGCTCATTTCTTATATTCACAATCACAGATTTTAATGAAATATCCTCACAAAGACCCAATTGACCAAAAAAAGTGTCTTTTCTTTTTTTTTGTACAAGTAGCTTTGAGAAGCCCCACGTTGTGTTGCTGTGATTTCATCTTTTGTAACATTTTATTTCTTGTTCAGAAGTTTATTAAAGAAAAAAAAAGTTTTATATGGCGGGCTGTGACGGAGTGGGGGGGCCTCCCTCCGTTAGGGGGGGCGGCATTTCCTTCCTGTCTTGGGCCCGCCATACAATGTTCTGTTCTCAGCACTGTACAACAGTCCCTATATGATATGGAGAAGCAATATCACTGTACGAAACTCACATGATGTATTATTATAATTCACTAGCACCCTAGGTGTGATAATTGAAGTAAATATCTTTTATACAAACATAACGACGTGTAGGTTGTCTTTCTTCAGGCAGACTGGACTCAAAAGCAGCAAACATTTTGACGGGGGTTCCGTTTTTGCTCTTCTGGGAGTTAAATATGTTGGGCGTGACGATGGCGTGTTTATTGTGAGAAGACAGCAGCCTTTTTGGCGCAAGATCTATCCATCCATCATTCACATTTGCTCATTTTTAAATAGAAAGGGGGGGGGGGAATCTGTGTTTTTCTGTAGGTGGGGAAACACTTGATTCTCACAGCTCTTTTGTGTGCCTCCTCCGCCAGAGGTATGGAGGGTGGCAAAATGAGAACAGGGCCTTCTCTGCAGTGGCTCCCCATTTGTGAAGAATGCTCTCCCCAGGGAGGTTCACAGGGCACCTTCATTATACACCTTTAGGCGCAAGGCGAAAGCGTCCTTTTTAACCAGATGTTTGGCCGATTGACACGCAGTGCCCTTTTAAAATGTATTGGGGGGGATTATTGGGTTGTTTACATTTCTGTCATGAATTTCATGTTTTTATATTGCGGTTTTGTGTTGTAACCAGCCAGAGACCTGCAGGTATAGGATGGTATACAAATTGAATTATTATTTTTTATTATTATTAACAACAACAACTCCCATCAGCACCAGCAAGCGTGGTCTGGCGTGATGGAAGTTGTTGTTCGCTAACACCTGGGGGGGGAAAGGTTCCCCCCACCTGGTGCGCGCACACACACACACACACACACACACACACACAAAGATAGCAGGTGGGATCCGTAGGTGCCCCTCTGCTGGGAGAAAGCCTCTTGCACTTAACAAAAGAGATGTTTACAACTTGGTGGAAGAGCGCTGTGTGTGAGAAAACTGGCTCCCAAATCCCAGCATCTTCTTCCATTTGAACAAGCTCTATCTCTCTGCCCTTTTTTTGGGGGGGGGGGGTCCACTGGAGTATATTTGCTGTTGTCCATATCTTCCATATCCACTCTTCCTCATATTGTACCGCAGCCCATTTTGCCCTCCCCTTGCCCTCCGCAAATAAATTTGCAAATGTGCCAAAAATCTAAGAAGGCAGCAAAAATTTATCTCCCCAGTGTGCCCACCACCATTCAACGACCCAAGTGATTAATTCCAAAAGGTATTAAGTATACATTTATTCATTCATTCATAAATATAAATTCATTTATTTCCTCAGTATACCCACTGAAAACCCAATTAATCAATCCAAAAAGGTACAAAAGATAAAAAAATTATTTATTTATAAATGCATTCCTTTATCCCACCCCACCCCCAGTATAACCAACGATCAACAACCCAGCTAATCAATCACTAAACTAAATACAATTTTTGTTTTATTTCAAAGTGCATGCCATTGAATTTATTCCCAAGAGAACTGAAATCCAAGTTTTAATTGCCACTAATATATTCCTACACATAGAATCAGTACTATCAATTGTATACTTGAGTGGAGTTTACTTGCAAAAATTTAAGTAAAGCCATTTGTATATCAATTAATTTGATTCTATTTTATTTATATATTTTTTAAATTTTCTTTTTTATAAGCTAGTGAGCATAAGCAGCTGATTCTACTCCGAGCAACAAACAGCCCCCAAAGCTCTTCCCCACCCCAAGCCCCACAAAAACAACCTAAACCAGGGGGAAAGGAATAACCAAAGAATACCCCATCCACACAATTTGTCCCAATAAAGAACCAGAAGTAATTTCCAATAATGCCAAAACTAAGGAACCTGAACACAACTAGTTTGGAGTAGTGATTAAGAGTGGGAGACCAGGGTTCAAATCCCCACTAGGCCATGCCCACAAGTTAATTGTGGAAAGGGAGAACCATGTACACCTCCTTGAACTCCATTGAGAAAAAGGTGAGATGATAAAAAGGCAATAAAATAAAAAGAAAGTCTGCCAACAGACCTTGGCATAGAGCCGGCTAAAATCCATCAGAAGATTCCAGATGGGTAAAAGAAAGTGCATAGTTAAACCATGGACCTCCTTCTCTCAGGAGACAGCGATGGCCTCCAATTTGGATGGCTTTAAAAGAGAATTAGACAAATTCATGAAGGAGAGGGCTACAGATGGCTGTGCGCATCCTCTGAAGTTGGAGGCAGCTGTGCTTGTGAAGGCAGCTGTGCTTGTGAATTGCCAGAAACCACAGGAGGGGAAAGGGCTCTTGGGCTTGAATCCTGATTGTTGGTTTCCCACAAGTTTAATAATAATAATAATAATAATAATAATAATAATACCCCACCCATCTGACTGGGTTGCCCCAGCCACTCTGGGCTTCCAAAATACATTAAAACAATAAACTTTTTTATTAAAAAAAAAACCCTTCCCCATACAGGGGTGCCTTCAGGTGTCTTCTAAAGGTTATGTAGTTAGTTATCTCCTTGACATCTGATGGGAGGAATTTTAAATGGGAGGTTGGCCACTGAGAGATGTTAGACCAGATGGGCCATGGGCCTTAAATCAAAAGAAGGGCCTTCAAGCCACCATGCTGTGTATTCCGCCTCCTACCAATAATCCCTATGTATTGTGCCACATAAAAAACGCCCCAAGCAAAGGAGACACCAAAAAGCAACTCTGTTCCCTCCAGGCTCTGCTAAGGCCCCAAGGCAGGGAAGGCCAGGCCCAACCACTGAGCAACACTCCCCTGCTTTCCAGCGCTTGCCATCACCTCAGCACTAAGGCAGAGGAGGGCAGCAGATGAAATCCCTTCAAGTGTCGGTTGGAGGAGAGTTACGAACCCCTTGGGATAACTCGGCGGGGGGCCCAGCTTGAGATTTAATGGTCTGACTCTGTAAAGCAGCTTCCTATGTTCCTAAGTTCTGTTCTAGGGGCAAACAGAAAAAAGGAGGGCTAGACCTGCTCAGAGGACAGTTGGGGTGGGATTAGAAATGGATATATTATGTCCGACCCTTTGGAGGGAGGTGGGAGAGGAATTGAGGGTGCAGCCCTATTCAGGACTTAAGACCCACTGAATATGTAACAGGTGGGGCTGCTGAATAAGCATGCACAGAAGTGCCTATCCCCACATCAGCAACTAGCATGACCGGCATTTAAAATACACACAGATGCACATACAATAAACAGTTAAAGCACAGTGGCAGGGGGCGGGAAAGGGGAACACAACTGGGCAGACTGTGTGTCAGGAGCTGGAGTCTGGGACAGGTCAGCAATAAAACACCCAACGTCAGTGAATAATAATAATAATAATTTATTATTTATACCCCGCCCATCTGGCTGGGTTTCCCCAGCCACTCTGGGCGGCTCCCAATCGAGTGTTAAAAAAAATACAGCATTAGATATTAAAAACTTCCCTAAACAGGGCTGCCTTCAGATGTCTTTTAAAGATAAGATAGCTGCTTATTTCCTTCACATCTGAAGGGAGGGCGTTCCACAGGGCGGGCGCCACTACCGAGAAGGCCCTCTGTCTGAAGATAACTCTTTATTCAAAGAAACCCAAACTGCGCAGGCCTAGTGATCCCAGAAACTCTTCCCAGTAGATCTTGCCCCAATGAGGCATTTGCATGGACAGGCCTTCCTGCCACTCTCTAAGGGTCCTGCTCCCTCAGGTCCTTCTCCAGCAGCCTAAGACTCCATTGTCTTGTCTCTCTTTGCTTTGCCCTCATCACCCCCTCTTCTAAGCTCCGGGAGGCCAGCAGGAGAGGGAAGCTGGTCGCAGCAGGAGGGGGAGACCCCCTGGCCTCTTCAGCAGCCTGCCTCTTGGCCACCCTCCTCTCCAGCCTTCGCTTCTACCCCTGAGTCTCTGCCCCAGACGCTTCCTGCTCACTAAACCCTCTTCCCCCTTCAGCTTCAGACACCTCCTCCTCCCAGTCTTCTCCCTCTGGCCGCTCATCATCATCCCACCACCAGCCCCCCAGCTCTGAGCCTTCTTCCCTTTGGGGTTCCCCAGCTGGGGCCTCCCACCATTCCTCTGCCTCCAGCCAGTCCGTAGCTCTGCAACAAGCGGAATCGGTCTCAGATATCCCAAAACAAAACTGCTTTAACTTGGGGTCGAAAATCATAGCTGAGCCAAATTTTCTCTAAAGCTATTAGGGTTTCTTTTTGGGGGAGGGGGCAGTCTGAGGGGCTTCTGTGGGAAGGAATGGCAGCTGCCATGAGCACTGCTGCTGGTAAATCCACAAAAATACCACCCCCACCCCCATTTCACCACTTGCAAATAGGATGACAACGTTGCAGAGGGTGAAGGCATTTCCACTCAGTCCAGTCAAAAATCTCAACAAAAAGTGGACAGAGCTGGTGCCAAAGGAAGGCTATATGATCTATTGTTGGTTGTTGTTGTTCTCTCTCCTTCACCAGCAGGTCCTAGAGCAGGTTATGGCAATTTAAAACTGAGTTTTAAAAATAGTTATATCAGTCACAAGACTCAAGTGGGTCATAAAACCACACCTTTTATTTAATTATTCTATTCATAATATTTATACACCACTTGGTCGTTTTTTTTATAAAAAAAAACAACCCTCAAAGCAGTTTATAAAAAGAACAAAACAATAAAATTACAGGTTAAAAACTGTTGAAAGCAACTATTTTTTTAAAAAAATTAAAATCAGCAATAAACTAAAAACACACATCAGCATTCTACATGTCTGGGTAAGCTTTTGTCTAAACAAAAATGTTTTTAGTAAGCACCAAAAAGAGTGTAGCGAAAGTGCCTGCTTGATGTCAAATCAAAGCCATCGAGGGGGATAAGGCAATCTCATGCTTGGAAACTTCTTGGGTGTCAAAAGCCAGGGGAAAGAGATACACAAGGATTGAGGCACACAGCCACTTGGTGCCATCAGTATATGCAAATGTCTGGCTCATTTAAGACTATATGGAACCTTTATTCTCAAGTATGATGGAAGCCATAGATGGAGAGTACTTTTTATTTTTAAAAAATCTATTATTTGTAAAGGAAATCTTTATATAATACTTTATTATCCCTTGGGAGCTGCACTGTATCTTTGTACTTTTGTCCTAGCAGGCTGTGATGTTTTTTGGGGGGTGGGGGTGG